ACTGTTCAATGGCGAGAAATGAATCATCGCATAACATCTCTCTGCGTTTCAACACTTCTGCTATGTCAAGATGCTCGAGTTTTTTATCTATGGACATGAGCACAGCCTCTAAAGGATCGGGTGCTTTACTCTCAACMKGCTTCTTTATCATCGATGCCATCGCGACTCCCTTAATCATCTATATTAACACATTARTCATTTGGACGATTGTTGAAGATCAACGCCTTCGAACTGTTCGCTATAACATACTTTTGGCTGGTTTAGCGTTGACTGATCTATTAGTGGGCCTAGTGGTACAGCCTTTCATTTTATCGTACCGTGTTTGCCTTTTGGTAGAGTGTTCTCATGTTTGTACAATGACTATGATATTTGCTATGTTACTGATGTTTTTCTGCAACTGGTCTCTTAATACATTGATGATAATAAGCTTAGAAAGACACATTGCCATCCATTACCCTCTAAACTACTACTCGGTGACAAATAACAAAAAGGTGGTTATCGGAGCATTCATGACATGGCTGCTAGTTCCATTGTCAACACTCCTTTTTGTCCGCTTAACCACTCAACATTATACAACGAGAAAAGTCTTCGTTGTTTTAATTTTTGCTGTAAATGTTTTAGTAACAATTTTCACCACTGTCAGAGTACAGTTGACGGCTCATTGGCAAAGGAGAAGCATCGCTGTGCAACAAGCCTCTGTGCAGGGTGARCTGWCCGAAAAGATCAGAGAAGGCAAGCGCGCCTTGGCGATTGGAATTGTGGTTATAGCCACTGTAGGTCTGTATTGCCCTTTGTTAGGCGCATTAACCGTCCTTGGTATTAAAGACAAAGAGCTTTCCCCGGAATTGAAGTACGCTAGCATAACAGCAGGTGCAACACTGGTACGCCTTCAGTCGTTAATCAATCCTTTAATTTTGTCTCTTCGATTGTCTCAAATTCGTGAAGGTGTAAAGAGAAAGGTTTTGGCTTTAAGTAGAAGACTCTTATGTGCATCCTGAACGTCAAAAGGTCATTACATTGGTCAATACATAGRCACAATCTCAAGTAGACTGAATAGTTAAACAAAATTGAATCTTTTCAAGGAAGTGCCGTGATAGCAAAAAGGATCCCATAAAATTCTRTTACATCAAGTGCTTTGCTCTCTATACAAATTTATATAATATTTGTTCTTACGGAGATTCAAGTAAGCACTCAAGGTCTATTTAGTACTGAATTCAATAATACGATTCACAATTTCAAGCTAGGTTTTATTTCCGGTCAATAATAAAGCGTTGATGTGCCCGACTGATATATCATATCCAGTGGCCCCTATAGCAAATTCAGTAGACTCATCCGAGCTCATGGAACGCGCAGCCTGATGGACATGATCGGGCATATTAAAGCACAAAAAGATAGAGGAAATAACCATACGGTATGCACTAGTGAAATCAATTATCTAAAGGATGTTTAAAATCTTTAAAAGATGGATTTAGAGATTAGTTCCAAGTTAGTTATCAAGTCTTTGGATTGGGCTGTAATTTTCCATAGCACTGACGTCATCACAAAACTTAAGATATTGGTATTTACACGAACTGTTTAAATATATACTAATTAATGATGGATCTAAAAGACTTAAGAATCAAGGATATAATACACCACGTCAAGCATAGATTTGATCCTACAAAAACAAAACAAAAAAAGAAAAAAAAAAACTGAAGGAAAAAAAATTGTTAAAAATAAAAGTTGATATCTCAAAATGGACTACTGTATATTCATCTCAGACACTAAAGCAATTGTTTGTTATGACGGACATTTACTAGCAACATTTACTAACAGAGAACTTCCCCCCCTCCCTCCAGCTGTTTTCGCAGACCATAATGCTCTTGGAACTACTTTCGCTACATTGCTCTCAAATAGTGAAGTATGTTTTCAAATTCAGAAATGGTTGTTCCACAAAAGTTGTAAAATTCTTGAAAACTAACTTCRTTCGTAACTACTGCCTTCATCGACTATCAATTTTCTTTTCTTGTCCGCTCTTGTAGTATCAACCAATCAGGTGCTGTGTTATATGTGCGCGCGTTGTGATTGGTTGTCTAAAAATAGATTRTGGCGACATCTGATGGTGACGAGATTACTAGCGAGATGGACACTTCTTCTGATAGAGATAGATAGACCGGTTTTAATATTTGAGAAAATATTGCAGTAAAATCACTGAATTGCATAAAACTAGTTCGCCCCCAAAGTTCAATTTTTTTCTAGTAGTTGTCAACATTTCAGTATGTAAAGTCGGAGTGGTTTTCAACCAATGAAAAGTTGGATTATGAGTATTGCAACTTATAATACTTCTTGTACTTTAAATTACTGTTTTTGATTCATCACAGTTTCAGTTTGGCCTATAGTTTGTTTTGAAAAACAAATCTGGCTGATTCGTGGATAAATTCGACAAAATAAATTATGGTTTTGCACTAAATTGATTTTTAATCCAAAACAATGATTCACAAAGATTCACGTAATTTCTTAAAAAGYATGGAGATAGATAAGCGGCCCTTGGCAGCTTCTCACTGGTTACGGATCTGATACCTGCATCTATGGATCCTCGTTCATTTCAATAAGAAACTAATTAACAAAAGTATTTTACAAAAGTATTTTACATAAGTTCAAAGAATATCCTGGTCAGTCAATGGTTGACTCGATCAACCAATTGAAATACAGAATTGATTAAGTASGTTTTCCCTTTGTTCTGTAGTGTTTTCCCAATATGAGTTATTTAGAGACGGATATACGTAATGCACTTTAAAAATTAGCCAATCACAGACCACAGGCATATGCCTAATATAAATAGTACATTTATTGCGGAACAATAYTAAGGTTTCTAACTCGCGTCTAAAATGAGAGACCTACTCTCCTTAACGGTAAGTAAAAACTTTATAAGTAAGCAAAAGATAAAAAGGGTTTAAGCTTGAAAAGTACGTAGCATGTGCAAAAACGTTTGTGCAAAAATATTTTGTTGATGTTGATGTTGGGATTGACGTTTGAAAACACTGAATAATACATTGAATAGTCGAAAGTTTCCCTCAAGTTACTGCCATAATTGCTATGAAATCTGGAAGGAATGAACCTGGAAGCATCTGGGGGATGCAATTAAAGTGAATGATCATTTTCAGTGATTAATTCATTAATGATAATGTRTGCAAGAATTAATACTTCCTTAACTATGTTTTGGGAATATAGTACATTAGTATGTTGCTATCTTTGATGTGGAACTGATTTTATTCTACACATACTATTGAAAGGACAGAAAGATTCCTCTATTTTTTGCACTCAGCTCAACTATGAAAAAATGATGTCCGCAGTGCTTATGACTGCGTATTGTTCATATGACTGTGTATTCATTCCGGCGTTGTCGGTATTGTTCGACAACGACTAGTTAGTTAGTTCTGGGACTAAACGTCAGGCAGTCAAAAAATCTTAAAGTGCCGTGCTTGTGATTGAAACTTGTCGAACAGTATTATATTTCGGYCTTGATTGCATTCCACTTGTTGTATTAATTGAAACGGTTGTTTCGACGATTTTTTAAGAAAAAATTCGACTGCCTGACGTTTAGTCCTGGGACTAAACGTCAGGGTGCCTGACGTTTAGACACTCCGTTTTGTATTTGTTGACAATTGCACATTCCACAGTAAACTTCCTTGTACTCATAGCAGCTTTAGGACTGTGACGTCATAATTAAGATTAGAAATCAAATCAAAATATCAAAAATTAACGCCGCATGATACGATGTCTTATTCTTGTCCAGTGTTCACTGCATAGTTTCCAAATTAACAATAAGAATGTTTATTAATACAAAAGATATTACATAAATACTATTAATGATTTATTAAACATTGTAAAGAGATTTATGTCGTGACAGACCCCTAATATTTAGCATACCCCCTCCGGCGTCAAATCATGCGCCACTTATGCATATCAGCTATTTCTATCATGCATGGGAACTGTGTTAGTCGAAATTCGAGATGGTTTGCAATAACATAAAATCCTCACCGTACAAAGCTTCTTGAAAATGAAAGTTTGCTTATTTGTTCTGGTAAGTACAATCACCTGAAAGCCAAATCTAGATTATATATACTGGCGCGCTATCAAATACAAATTGTAATTTGTCTTGTTTTAACGTTACGGTTTGAAACGTTATTTTAGCTGAGCTAGAATAAAAGCTGCAAAACAAATTGAAAAATGTAAAAATCAGTTAATGGTCAACAAGTTGATTCTGACTTATCATGAATCATCAGAATTGGGGAGTGACTGACATATGAGTGAATATAACGAGTTGTGCACTTATAGTCGAGTGGATTGCTGTCTTGTTGTTTCGATACAATAATAAGCAACAATAGATTCGAAATAATATGAGATAAACTAAACGTAATGTTAGGATCACAGTTAGGATCCAAGGCAATCTTAAAAAAAGATAAATAAAGCCGATGAACACTTTTTTGACATACATGCATATACCATATAGAAAGCTCGACCAGTACGGCACGACCTTGAGCTATACTATAGCTAAATATTTTCTCGTACAGCCTAGTCCATGTCATATCAACARTTACATATTGTTTACATTTTATCAAAAACCGTTCTTTTGTAATGACATATAAACTAGTGTACTCTTTATTGGATTAACTGGTTTTTTTACTCCTGTTATACGTATATAAAGCCACTCTGTATATATCTCACAAAGTCTGCTATGTCGATATGTAAAGTAAACTTTGAAAATGTCCTGGCCTGCATGGCCAGTAGGACAGATGACCTGCCTTAGAATAATTTTTTAACTAGTTGCAGGTCACAGAAATCCACAGGGCGATCTATGTACCTGATGATCCCGCCATTTTACCTTCAAGCACGATGCAGTGAGGTCGGCACGATATAAAAGATGAGATCAGGAGCCATACACTACTGTGAAGAAGTTTCAAATTAACTCAAGCTTTCGTCGGTCGCCGATCGAGGAGTTTAAGAGGAGTTTCGCAGCTATTAAATATGAAAACTGAGAAGTACTTGACAAGAGCCAGAAACGCGCCGTTTTGAACTATCCTTTACTTGAAGCTCAAAATAAACATCAACACGATTTTATCGCTTCTACCGAAACGTCTGTGATACGCAGTCTTTTTAGCATGAGATTTTGGCCAAATACTTTTTCTAGCAGCATATATATATGATATATATATTGTAATGTTTACTGTATAAAGAGCAACAATAACAATATAGTATTCATTCGTACCATGTAGATAGTTTTCATGAAAGTTTTAAATAAAATAGTGTAACTAGGACTAACAAATAACTATAAGAATCTAATAAGTTGTTAGGACCAGTCACAGTTATCAATACTCCAATTTGGAATGGCGATAGAAACATAATCGAAAATTAATGTTTGAATTTCACACACATTACAACTTTCGCTAAGACATGCAACAAATACTGACTATACTATCGATAACAACCATGGGCGTATCCGGGATTTTTATTGGGGGGGGGGGGGGGGGGGTTCTTACATACCAAATTGTCACTGTGACGTCTTAAAACGTCAACATAATGTCATATAAATCTATGGTTTTCAGGCTTTTTTTGGCTTTGAAAGAGGAGTCATGGGCACCCTGTGACCCCCTGGATACGCCACTGCTAACAATACAAACTATTTCGACAATACACAACAACTATAAAGAAACATCAAAAGGAAAATTGTAATTTTATATACAGAAGAAAAATAGTAAGACGAACTCGTGCAGAAACGCACATCCACTTTCCATGGCATGCCATGGCTCACATGATTTTTGAACTGATTAGACTTAGTCAAGACTTAGTACATAGTTAGTAATCAGTTAGCTATCTATTTCATGGGTATATTGTTTGCCATATACCTGTGTTAGTGTATGTATCAAATGTGTCAAACAACACAGTGCAATTCCTATTTCACAGACGGTTGAAAATTCATGACTCTAATCACGAGACTTTTGGCACCTGAGGAATGCAAGGTCATTGATGACAAACCGTGCAACACGCAAGCTGGTTTATTTATTAATTTTTTTTCGTTTTTGTTTTACTTACGCTATAACAGACTGGTGTCAAAATATAAATCAGCCTAGGAAGATCTTATTTCTTAMAATAATTAAATTTACATTTGCAGCACGATGACCGTTCAAATCTACATACTTATTGTTAAAGTAAAACGGTGTTTTTGGGAGTTACTGGCGAATGGACACGCCATGCTGGAGTCCTTAGCTTCAGAAAATAAACAAACATATCTCTCTCTCTTTCGATTAGGATGATAGCTTGCTCTACACAATACTCCAATTTCGAGTTCTGGTTTGCTCTGTGTTAGCCTCAAAACCAAGTAATATATTCTTTTGTTTCATTGATAGCTCGAAAAAACGCATGGAATTTGTGAAGAAACACAATAAATTTGATTTGAAATCTCACACTTCTACGCTCACAATAAGGAATATTTTGCGCACAAATGAGGCTAACACAGAGCATTGGAGAATTCGAAACTGGAGCATTCGACTAATAATAATTCGAAATAGACTTGTAACACTTATATATATGTGAGTGTCATTATTTTTTAGTAGATGAAAATGTTTCGRGGATATATATCATATAATGCAAACGTTTAATGATGTAGCKTGAATGCCGAGAATAAGAGTAAAACTAATTTTGTGTTTCTTTGATTACCCTGTGGTGTTCATAATCTTACAGTTATCCAAAAAATGAAATAAGTTCATTGAATTAAGAAAAAAAGCGAAAACTATTCTCATTTCGTTCCAAATCCTGCTAATTCATTTACTCTTGATTTCAGATTATTTGCATAACATTCCTGTCATCAAAAGCTGAAGATGCAAATCCAGGTATTGTTAGTAGGGCTAGGTTCAAGCTGTCAAGCTCCATATTTTAAATGAATTATGTCTAAAAGGGAAGTTGAAGCAATGAATCGTGACCATAGTGCGGTATTGGAATAATATATTTCGTTTATTGCTATAACAACCAGGACTTTTATGTAATAAACGTGCTTCAACTATGAAAACTACACGGTTCAACGTGCAAAAACCATCAATACTCAAAAACGAAATGTTGCCATGTCAAAGAGAAATCGTGTGATCTATGTAGCACACTAAACAAATCACTCGACCAAGTCATTAGCAGAAATTATTCTGTGACAAGCATACGCCAATATCACTCTCAGACGATGAGACACTTGAATTATAAAGGGTTGTTTGCTAATAATTGTCAAAGTGGGTCGGCGTCAGTTTAGTCCGTTTAATGCATTAGTCAATTGAAACCCCCGCCCCCCCGACCCCGGGGAATACTAATACGAATTTAACGTTTGAGTGGTGTTAAAATAAGACATTTCCCCCCGTAGTAGGGGGCACATTTATTGTTAAAATCCCCGCTACTGTTGTCCCGCTATTTTGGTAGTAAATAACAAAACAAAGACCTTTCAATCAAATTTTCTGTGATACACAGGGTTAATTTTTGCACAATCCTGTGTACTCATTTGCGTACTGCATGAGGCTAACTGGACGCAGAAAAACATGTGTAATGAGTTTCTTTTAAACATTTTTCATGCAAGTTAGTTTCCAGCCTCATACACTCATATTCAAACGTGCGTAAAAATCCCTCTTTACCCGCTTCGACTGACAATTGATCAAAATCCCGACCCCCGGGGGAATCTTGCTGTTAAAAGCACATTAAAAACGCTTCACGTCCCCGTTCAGTGCCCCGCTAGCCCCGCTAGCCCCGGCGAAAGAGCGTGCTTGATGAGAGTAATTTGTACTAGAATGTACCTTAAATTTTCTTGAAGTTTCAAGGAAAGACTCCATTTGTGGCCTTTTGMAGGCTGTTTTAACAATACGGCTTAATAACATTGTTCAAAATTTAATTGCATGCTTTGGCTTCATAACACACGGGTAACGATGGAATATATATCGGTTTTTCAGCAAAGCTGAAAGTTGTTTTTTGGTGGCCAATTTTTGCATTTGTGGTTTGRGTTCAACCGCTCTTCACCCGAATACTGATTGGTCGATGTGAATGGCTGTATGATTCTCGACTTCATCTTGCTTACTAGAAGTTTTCATTTTCATTTTTATGTTCGTTATATTTTTTAAATATTTTTCTTGTTCTTCCCCAGAACGCTCGAATTGTCCTGTAATAATCTGCTACCAGTTATTTAATATGTCAGCAGCAAATTCCTTTGATCAATAGACCTCTGAAACTTTTACTTCATCAACCGTATACGCATTGCATTCTAGGATATGTTAGGGACAGAATATGGCGGATTTCTTTCTGTTTCTCTAGAAACTGATCCTACAATGCATTGAAAATCAATTAGTGACGTAAARCGCACACATATTCTTGTTTTTGCWTAGGTAGTGACATGCACATCCATCCACTTGTTGTAAACGGTAACGATGCCGATCAACACGAATGGCCTTGGCAAGTAAGGCTTAAACGCTCAGGGACATTTATCTGTGGTGGCTCGCTTATCAGTGATAATTGGGTGCTCACGGCTGCACATTGTGTTGACACCAACYCAAACCCAGCTTATTATACAGTTGAAGTTGGTAAGTTAATCTTACTATTACAAAACTGAAAYTGAAATCAAAGTGATTGAGTTTTTGACCTGGAAATGACGATATCGCTCTAATRATACAGATAATACATCGCCTTTTAACAGGTCAAACACGTACGATTTTCTTATGCAATGTGTGAAGCTCATTTATTATAATTTTGGAATCCACTATATTGAAGTTTATACATCCTCATTGTTAACATGATGCCATTCTAATGATATATTGCTCGTCAAAGTATCAATAATGGTGTGTTAATTAATGATAATTTTTTTCAGGAGCGCACTGGATGTCGAGAAGCACTGCCGTTCAAAAAAGTCTTGCTGTCACATACCTGTGGTATCATAAAGCCTTCAGCAGGTCTCATCTGCGAAACGATATAGCACTTTTATTACTTAACGAAACAGTAAACATCACAAGCAAAATCAGGCCTATCAAACTTCCTCGTCAGGGAAACAGAATCAACGCAGGAAGAACTTGTTACATTACAGGTAWGTTCATACTGATTGCTTGGTAATGCATGAAAAACATTTATACTTTAAAAAGACAAAAGAGAGGTACTAACACTTAATCCSTGTCCTTTCAATACATCCCTTTTGTATTGAAGTCATCATCAATTCTCTGCATCCCCTGTGGKACATAAGGCCCCCACAACCTATCCCTAGCCCTATGCTGCGCCTTCCTTAGAGTGAGATGGTTATATTTAAGCTCAGAAATARTTGTACGATCCCATGTTGTTTTTGGCCTCCCAGATTTTCTTTTTCCAGGAGGAGTCCATCTTAGGGATATCTTGGCGTTCATGGTCCATGCTGAAGTACAAATGTCTTTTACAACAATGATGTTTTAATATTGTGATTATCTTTTGTAATATTACATCCATAGCCACAGGAAAAAGTCGAGTTTTATTTATTTTGCTATTGAAGCTGGCAGAAGGCAGAAGATTTAATTTCACATGAGATAGACAAGTCAAGCAAGGCGGCTGAAATTTCATCAATTGCTTAGGCGTATATTTATCCCTAAAAGATAATGTGTCCGCAAAAACACCTGACTTTTACTACTAAGAGGACGTTGCGCATACACGATTCCATTTGATCTTTCTGTTATATTTCTTGTACTTTAAGGTTGGGGGCGTTTGCGTGGTTACGGAAGTCTTCCAACAGTTCTTCAAGAAGCTCCTCTCAAGATTGGTAGTGACAGTGATTGTGCACAGAAAAATGGCAACACTTTTCAAGCTAGTAGTATGATTTGCGCTGGCTCWGAAGGAAAGGGAGGTTGTAATGGTGACAGCGGTGGTCCTTTGTCATGTTATGAAGGGGGGCAGTGGATCCTTCGAGGTGTGGTGAGCTGGGGAAAGGTTGGRTGTCCCACTTCATACTACACCGTATTTGCACGTGTGAGCAGCTTCGTATCGTGGATTTCTCGCGTAAAAGGCCAAGAAGGTATTGTTGTCAAATGAAATATAAAGCCATAGCGCATGCTCAGATATTCATATGTAAAGAGAAAGTTTATGATGTAATGAAAGTTATACATTATCCAGTGTGATAAACCGCTCCTTCAAATCTATTCAAAACAGTTTTTTCAACATATATTCAATAATGTTTGTTCTTTCAAAGGAAATRTCAACTGCAACTTTGACGATAGTAGCTCTCTTTGTCAATTTTCATGGAAACAAGATAGGTTCGATGATTTTGATTGGACTCGAAATCGAGGTTCAACAAATTATCATGGTACAGGCCCTTCAGCGGACCATACCAAGGGCACATGTGAGTATCATTAACCAATCGCCTTCGTCCAAATTCTATTTTTTTCTCTTTCGTGTTTGATTAGCTTTTGTGTTGAATTGTGAATAGCCCTAGCTCATTWTGACGTCACATCAAACATTCTACTGTTTTAACGCTAAGGATTATATTCGCTAGAAKGCATCATAGTGACTTTATATAAAATAAAATGTGCATGAGCAATCTTTGATGCACGGCATATATCAAAACACGATAGATTGAAGTTGTACWTTTAGGATACAATATAAATGGATCCACATTTCCTCTGTTTTTGAGCATTTTCTCCGATGTAAACAAACTGCGACGTCATAATGARATAGGGCAATTGTGTGCTGAATAACGTACCAAGTAACTATTCTGATAACGATATTTGAATGATTTTATTATGAGGATGGCCTATTGAAACAATTATTGKCTTGCGTTKGGGTACTTTTCCKTTTGGTATACGGAATKGTTATTTTTACCARGGRACATTATAACTAACAACCAATAGYGTAGGAAATCCCACTTGATGAATTGATGAGACATCATCAACAAGCAGCTTTATTAAAACGGGCTGTACGTTGGCACTAATGGTTGCTTTTCTTTTGCATCATCAGATTATGGATATTACATGTACACCTATACAACGTACAGGAAGAGTGGTGATAAAGCCCGATTGTACAGCAGTCCTGTAAATGCTACCAATAAATGTTTCTCATTCTGGTATCACATGCATGGAAGAGATATCGGTGCTCTAAACGTTCTTGTTAAGGCAGGACAACAAAACGAAACGCTTTGGTCTAAAAAAGGACCCAGCGGCAATAGATGGCTGCAAGGAAAAATCAATCTGAGAAATCAGGGAAAAATTTCGGTAAATACGCTTAAAACTAAAAAAACGTTTGGAAATTCAATTATCGTAATTGCAACCCACTAGATATTAAGCAGAAACACTAGTTTTTGATCTAAACAGAAATACTATTGAGAAACGAACGCAAAACAAGAATCACATACCTTAATTTGGTTCATTTCTAGTGCTTCCATTACTTATTGTGGCTATACATATTCACCTAAGTTAACAAAACATTGAAAGGAAACATGAGAAGGAAAATAAATGGACTRATATCATGTGCAAAACACTGCTATAGTTCCTAAATACTATCATCTTTAATAATAAACATTTCTTGCTAAGTGATATGTTCATGTTTATGAAAATATACTGATTCAAATTTTCAATGCCCAAAATTCTCCATCTTCGTCTTCGATGATATRTCACCTTTTTTAATCTGACAACCTTTTGCAAATAGTTGTAGCTACTCAAAATTACGAACTTATTCATGGCTTTATAATATGGGTGCTACTATATTACCGAGGCATAGTATATGGCAGGTGCACTAGTTCTAGCTGTAAATTTGGCATTCATTTTAGATCATATTTGAGGCCATTTCTGGAAGTGGAAAAGAAGGTCATATCGCAATTGACGATGTTGCTCTAACCAATGGATCTTGTTCAATTTCACGTAAGTCTCTTAAACTTAATCATCTTCATAATAACGGTACTAGAAGGCGTCCTGAATTTCTGATAAAGTGAACGCAAGACGTGCATAAAATGCTAATTACTAATTACTACTAAAATAGTAGCATCTATTTTGTATTATTTTATTTCACGGATTGGGTGCGTTCACTTTGTCAGATGTATTAATACACTAATATTATCAGATGTATAAACACACTAATACATTTAACATGCTGCAATATTTCAGAATCCTGTCGTGATCAGACGTGTTACAACAAAGGAAACGCATACTGTTTGAATAACACAGGATACTGTTACTGCCAGAGTGGTTCCTATGGACAACAGTGTGAATTCTGTAAGTTTGATGTGAAATTGAAATGAAAACGATTGAAAGTCTAAGTTATTTTCTAAGCTGTAAAATTACCTTGCTATGCATGGATGTTATCTTCCATTTTAAAGGCCCACTTTTGTCCAAGAATGTTTCATTTGTTTCAGAAATTGTCTCTTGTTGAAAGTTTCATGCTTTCGTTCTAAAAGTTTTTTATTCAAGAAAAGCGAGTAAAGGTTCTTAGATATGGGACTTTAAAAAGGACGAGTTATGTGTTGATGTATTTTTTGGATGGGGTAGGGGCGTTTATATACAAATTCAGTTCAGTAGCCAAAGGCACGTAAGAWGTTATAACTACGTATAGAGCGGACTTCGTATGAGTGGGAAACGGACGGTACTGTACTGTGACCGTAATCGTACTGTAACCAAATTCTAGTGCCCCATTGGTTCACAAAAATTKTGCAGGCCAGGTCCGGTAACTGTGCGGTAACCGTGCGGTAACGCCGGGTGTCCCACACATACAAAATCCGCTCTAATAAGAAAATAATGTTTCTGCAGCATCCAAGTATAATTTGTGTTRTTCTCTTTCTAGTATCATACAATTGTAGCTTTGATGGAGGACTATGTTCATTGTGGGATCAAGACACTACAGATGTGACCGACTGGACTCGTTACCAAGGTTTTACACCGGATTTTGGAACTGGTCCTTCAAGAGATCATACTACAGGTAAGAGGCGAATCAAATGATTACCACAAWGAGGTTAGCCTTAACTAACCATGTTGATTAACACAGGATCAGGCTCGTTCTTCTACCTCGAGACTTCCAACAAGCGATTTGGTGATASAGCTCGCTTAATAAGCAAGGTCCTCCCTGCCACAAACARCACTTGCTTTACCTTTTGGTATCATATGTATGGAAAAGATATCAACACCTTGAGAATCCTACTGAAAAAAGCTGGTCAACAGACTGTTGTTTGGTCCAGAAAAATTCAGACAGGACGAAATCAATGGTTTGAAGGAAAAGCCACCCTTAATAGTGACGAACCGTTTCAGGTAATTTTGATACCAGATYAACAACAATGTCCTCGGGAAAACCTATCCCCTTYCCAGCCGATAATTCCTTAACAATGGATAAAATGACTGCTCATGATATGCAGCTTCATCTTCTACCATAATRCGTAGAATTAGTTTAAAACAATAGAGTATTTCTATATCGGATTCCACAATACAAAATTTAGTTGGAATTCTTCTCGATTTAAAAGATCAGGTCATCACATTACAAGGTGAAACATTAAATCGAGAGGATGGGGGTTGGCTTTTTAAAAATGTATCCTATTGCTTCCTTACAACGCCTATTAATCAGTTAATCAATGCCATTAATCAGCGTTTAAGTCAAAAAAATACTTGAAATAAGATGTTAAGAGATATTTTTCTATTTTCATCAGGTGGTAATCGAGGGTGTTGTTGGGAACGGTTACCTTGGAGATATTGGTATCGATGACGTCTCTATTGTTAACGAGACGTGCAGTATTTCAAGTACGTAAGCATGTTGTTCACTGTACTGTCTCAATTAGCAATTAAATTATGGATTAAGCAATAGCTTGACTATAGTCTGTCATAGTTCAGACAATCAGAATGCTGCATAATTGATAGACMATTAGTATGTTGCATTGGCTGATGMGYATTCTAAATAAGGGGCATACCTTGCATTAGAAAACTCGCAGGTTAGGGGGGTTGGTGAGGGGCAGAATTATTTTCGTGCAAGATTKTTTTGGATGCAGATTGTTGTCTTCAGGAGTTTTTACGGGGATCTGCAATATATAATTTTTGGACAAAATATAATTGTGGAATGACATATGAATAACGTTTAGCCAATTTGTAACAGAATCATGTCGCGACCAGACCTGTTACAACGATGGTCATGCTTACTGCTTGAACAACACGGGACATTGCTACTGCCCTGATGATTCTATTGGTCAGCAATGTGAAAGGTACAGATGTGATTTTAATAAAGACTTGTGTGACGATTTATGGCACCAAGAAAGAACGACAGATAGATTTGACTGGACGAGAAATCAGGGTCCAACAAATGTTGCAAATACTGGTCCATCGGCAGATCACATTAACAAAGGTACAGTGATATGACATAAACAAGCTCGTGGTTGACGACAAATAATAAAAGGTTATTGGTTAACAGTGTTTAACTTTCCATATTGTTTATTTCTGTTACAGTTGATCATGTTTCTCATCAAACATACATAACCGTCAAAACCAGCTGTACCTATACCACCATCAATAAGTACAATGGCCGGTTTACGTCACCTAACTACCCTTCATACTACAAAAACCGAGAAAGCTGCTACTGGTTACTGACCTCCAATGGAAGAATTTCTATATCATTCGAAAGTTTTTACACTGAGAGTTGCTGTGATAAGGTTTATGTTTACGATGGTGGTTCGAGCTCGTCCAGATTACTTGGTCAATACAGTGGTACCAAAATTCCTCCAAAACTGACCAGCTCATTCAAGCAGTTGTACGTAAGATTTACCTCTGATGGTTCGGTAACGTATCGTGGGTTTTCGGTTAGGTATGGACCACCTGGATACTTACAGGGTAAGATTTCACTCTTTGTCACTGTCTATACCAAATTATAACAATAAGACCTCAACTATGCAAAGTTTGGAGGAGAGAGGGGGATAGAGAGGGAGGACACGGAACTTCAGTAGTTGTGTGCCGGCAAAAGCAATCAGAAATCTAAACTCATTCCATCCTAGAATTTTGATTTAAGACACCAGTAAATGACAGACTAAATATGTGAATTGTACATACCACACCAAGACTTTTTTATTAACTTCTTAATGGGCAGATTTGCTATGTGCTACCCCGCCTATTCCAGACTAAAACGGCCAATCGACTAGTAAATAACTAACACAACGATTCTTATTATATGATATTGCATCTTATTGACTAGAAACCTTTGTTTTGCTTGCAGCATCGGGCTATTACATTTATATTAACACGGATTCCAACAGAAGGTTTGGCGACACAGCCAGATTTGCCAGCAAGTTTCTTCCTGCTACAAGCGGTACCTGCCTTTCATTTTGGTACCACATGTATGGTAGTGACATCAATGCCTTGAATGTGATTTTGAAATCAAATCAAAGAAATACCACCGTCTGGTCCAGGAAGGGCGAGAGTGGCAATAGATGGTTAGAAGGAAAAGTCACTATTAGTACCAATGACACTTATAAGGTAAAGTATCGATCAAACTATTCATAGACTCCTCAGTGAATGCCATTAGAGTGGAATCATAATAACAGATAAAGAAACAGGTCTCAACACAGCTGTAATGGCATTGGCATTATCTTTAATTTACGGCATGAGTGTCTTGATAGTAATCTTACTTCAATTAATTCTAGATCGCATTTGAAGGAGTCGCTGGTAGTGGAATTGAAGGCCACATCGCACTTGACGATATATCATTGAGCAAAGGAGCTTGCAATATTTCGAGTAAGTTATCACCGCGGATTCTACTGATTGAGTTCTTTCTAGTAAAATAAGCGAAATTTCGTTAAAAGGGTCCTGTCAAGATCAGATCTGCTACAACGACGGGAATCCATACTGTTTGAACAACACGGGCTACTGTTACTGCTCAAGTGATACATACGGAGACAAGTGTCAATTTGGTAAGAAAACACTTCATTAAAGTGTGTGTATCACTCTATCATTTAATTCTGCTATGTCATTGGTAATTAATTCTAACAATTCAAAATTCTTCGAACCCCGAAAAAAATACAGGCGATGCTTGTCTTTTGTTATGGTACAAACTAATCTAATCTGTGTAATATATTGTAATATATAAGGGCCTTTGTCACTAAAGGTTTATGACATTGCTAAGTTTTCTTTCCTTTTTTCAAGTAAATTACAACTGTAGCTTTGATAAGGGAATCTGTCGTCATCTTTGGACTCAAGATTCCAAAAACGATCAATTGGACTGGAATCGACAACGTGGGCCATCATGGCCGTACACAACTGGTCCATCACGAGATCACACAAGTGGTATGACGTTTTTCTCTAATCATGTACAATGCCTGCCTTGTTGCTGCACAATACCGAGTGTGCCTCCTCTGTGTTTGTTATAAGTTACTGATGAATCGTATACATTGTCACTTGGTTCTGCAATAATTGGCAATTTCTACATTGTATCAAATTAATATGCATATAATGTAACTGGACGATGCGGGTAAAAGTGATTTCTTTAATGCTAACAGCGTATTTCTTTCTCGGCAAACAGGTAATGGTTATTACATGACCATTCGCTCTCGTTATCAACGTAAAGGCAATGCAGCTCATTTAATCAGCAGACAACTACCTTCTACAAATCAATCCTGCCTGGCATTTTGGTACCACATGTATGGTACTAATATCGGCACATTGAGAATCGTGAGGAAAWATGGTAATGAAAACGTAACAATTTGGTCGAGAAATGGTCAAAGTGGAAACAGGTGGCTTCAAGGAAAAGTGGATCTTGAAAGTCATCATGAATTCCAGGTATGGACAATCATTCTTTGAGGGAATTCTGTRTTCAAGTCTGTGATTCAGTAAAGCCATAGTTCATTCAGACGTTAGACACATATTTCATTTACAAATTTCAAGATTGTATGTACAACCGTTTAAAATGCYATTCAGCATGAAGGAGATTTTACAGTTTATCGGGATGAAATTTGTTCATTTCTGTGATGTTTCACCCCCTTCCCCGACCAAATGCGGGCTTCATCCCATGAAAGAAGAATCTTCCATTTTGATCTTCTAGTTGATCTTCGAGGGTGTTGTCGGTGGTTACTATGGAGATATTGCTCTGGATGACGTATCGTTAATAAATGAGACCTGTTCTATTCCAGGTATGATTTTAAARTATTTAGCTCAACTTACATATGAGCGCTCTAATTATAAGAGGAACCTAATCCGATAAGGTCCCTTCTCGGCGCGGGTCACTATTCTAGAGGTGATCATCAAGATAGTGTTCTTTAGGGTCCTTTTGCAYTTACAACAGTCATATGTATATTTAGGTCWGTTTYCCTTGATTTAGTGTTCTAGAAGGACTCTAGTTTGTTTCTCTGTAGAGGATTATAATATAAGCATCGTGATAAGCCTTTTCCATCAGATTTTCACAACACTGAATAATCTATCGATTAATCCATTCCATATTAAAATGTTCTTACTCATTCAACAGATTCATGYAGGRACCACTTTTGTCACAATGATGGTCATGCGTAYTGTATGAACAACACTGGCTACTGCTACTGTTCTCATGAAAATATAGGAAAATATTGTGAAAAATATAGATGCACTTTTGATCAAGACTACTGCCAGAATAGGTGGTATCAAGATAGAAATGATAACTTTGACTGGTATAGAAGAAGTTATTCTGCTGGAGTATCCAACACAGGCCCATCGTCTGATCATACAACAGGTATCTTGATATTGCGGTCATTTAACTCATTTGCGAGTTCATTTGATGCTCAGCAACTGGTCATCAAAGAAAATTTATATCAAGAAATATCAAGTTATAAATGCAAATGATGTTGGAAAAGATTTGCTTGTATTAAAGTGTAAACACTAAAACCATAAAAACCGTGCAAATAGTGCTAGGTTGAGTGGATGAGGGAATTATGTTTTCGATCTATTATCGTGTCTACACAACAATTTTCACTATTCAGCACTATTTGGTTAGTTCCTTTTTCATGTGTTTGCTTTTTTAAAAACACAAGGTATTTTCCCTTGAACGATTCAACGCACAGTTCTAGATTTGCTTATCACAAACTCATATATATTTTCATGCGCTTTGAAGGAAAACAAAAATAATTAATTTAACAAACAAACAACAAGCAAAACAAATTGCTGAATGAGACTATATAGTCAATAGAGATATTAWTGAGATTATGGTCATCTCAAGTGATATAATAGGAAAGAGAATAGAGTGCACATGACACCTATTAGAAAATCACTTTTATCCGARAGTGTACWATCACGCYGCCAGGCACTTTTGTGARGAAAGAAATAGATTTTCAATTTTASTTTCTGAGTTATAGGCATTTGAAAATTGAAAATGCAAATGAAGTGACGTCAACTRAGGAATTGTTCCAGACTTTTTACATTGTTTGTGTTATGATGTTCTTGGTTGAAGAGCTCAAATCAACAGTCATAGTAATAATTGAGAGATGAAAATGCTTTTTTCAATGTAACAAAAAGAACAACGTCCTCTTTCATGATTTTGTGTATTTTATTTAAAAATCATTCCTTAGTAGACRTTACTTCATTTGCATTTTCTAAGTTTCAATTGCCCATAACTTAGAAATACRATTTGAYATCAAATTCTTTCTTCACAGATGTACTWAGCAGCAYTTTCTCTTCTAGATGAGAAWGAATTTCTAATGGTGTCATGTGCACTTTAAATCCCGCAATACTTCAATTCGCAATACTTCCATTTAAACAGTTGCAGGCATGGTTCGTTTGTGAAAAAACTCTAAATATAAGAGATGGAATAATAAATTACTGTATTCTCATCATTTCACGTCGCTCACCTTTGTTTRCAGGAAGAGGCTACTACCTATACATTTACACTTATTACAGAAGACTTGGCGATACAGCYCGCTTTGTCAGCAAGACTCTTCCTGCTACGAACAGTACATGTCTTTCATTTTGGTACCACATGTATGGCCGTGACATCAACACCCTGAGAATCATTCTGAAMACGKCAAGTAATGGAAATTCAACTATTTGGTCCAGRACTGGTGAGAGTGGTAACAGATGGCTAGAAGGGAAAGTGACGATCATCAGCAATGAACCTTATCAGGTAAAGTGAATGAGCTCATCTGGTTACGTGTTTTGATATAAAAAGGGAGACCTCATTAAACAGTAACATATGAATACACAACTGACATAATATCTACTTTAACTGAGTAATAGAAAATTGTACTGTTTGGTATTGTACTTAGTGTGTAGCATATCTTTTATTTTTGCTTTTTCAGATCATATTTGAAAGCGTTGCTGGAGGTGGTGCATATGGAGAAATTGCTATTGACGATATATCCATGACCAACGGGACTTGCAATATCTCAGGTAAGTGCAACACAGTTTCAAGCCGTTAGTTTTCTTTTCAATTCGGTGACTGCGTGGGCATTTTTGGTCAAAATGAAAGTAATACTTATTTTCTTTTCATAAATATTGTGAGATCCTTCTCATCTTAAAGACTCGCTTGCATCCGAGAACCTTTGCATCATGTTTTTAATCGAAATGAAATGATATTCATAGAATCTTGTCGGAATCAAAGATGTCCCAAAGGCAGCAATCCATACTGTCTCAACAACACCGGTTATTGCTACTGTCCACCCGGGACCAGTGGAGATTCCTGTCAATACAGTAAGTAAAGCTTCACATCAATATGCCATTGCTATGTTTTACTTTATATGCTGATTATCTGTCCCAAGGTATACACAGAACTTCGCAAGTGTCGAAAATATTTTCTGTTTTAGTCGCTCARCTACAATAATGTGATTTAGACGTCGAATGTGAAATGAATATAAACCCCAATCCCTTCTGTCACTGTGTTTTATCAGAAGCTTATAAGGGACTTGAAACGTGTAGCGACGTGTCATCTGTTGGAATATTCAAATCTAATTTGCATAATCTCGTTTCCTTATTTGTGGGAACAATTYAATTTACCCTAGCCAACCAGAACGGGCCTTAAATCTCTTATCCAACGGCCGAATTTTCCAAATATGGTGATAACGTTTGTTTTCGATTTTTTAATGAGCTTTGAATATTCCAACGCTTGGTACTAAAATAATGTACGGGCGCTACACGTGAGAAGAATATCCTACATCTTTAAGCACGTGAGATGCGATTGAAAACAAAAACTATCAATTAAAAATGGCGAATACCATCAATGGCGTAGCCTGAACAATACTTTACCAAACGGTAATTGGCAAAAGTAGGTCTTGATCATTAGATCCAATTCAGCGGTGACGAGATTCCTAGCATTCTCAACTGTCTTTTGTATACAAACATTTCACATGATTTAGACCACTGGCATTTCACGGCAAAGCARCTTTATCTACCCTCTAGTAGTTTAATTTGTAGAAGAGGATTCAGAGCTCTCATGGATGGCAAATATTAACACCTTATTTGCGTCATACCCTAAACACTTTTTTCTGTTCTCAGTATCTTCCAAATGCAACTTTGATAAAGACGTCTGTGATATGTGGTATCAAGGAAAATCGGATAAATTCGATTGGACTCGATATCGTGGCTATTATTGGCCATCAACAACTGGTCCATCTGCAGATCACACATCAGGTAAGTCCATTGATTCGTTAATTTGACTTACATGTATGTCGTTTTCACCACCCATTAATAACAACAACCAAAAATAAATAAATAACAAAAACAAAATAAACAAACATGAACAAACGCCACAACAACAACAAACGAAAAGGCGTTATATAGAAATCATTCAAAATTGGAAAACGAATTTCTCATATCGTTAGAGAACCAGTATGATATAGTATAAGGATASCTGTCAWTCACTTCAAACAGGTTATGGATACTACATGTTCAYTGACTCTCGATACAAAGGAATAGGCGATACTGCTCGTTTAATCAGTAGMMATCTTCCTGCTACTAACCAAGCCTGCCTGGTCTTTTGGTACCACATGTATGGTATTAATATCGGCACATTGAGAATCKTGAAGAAAAATGGTACTSAAAACGTCACARTCTGGTCGAGAAATGGTCAAAGTGGAAACAGATGGCTTCAAGGAAATGTAGATCTAGAAAGTGCCAATAAATTCCAGGTAGAATTTAGTCTCAATCAAGAATTTAGAATTTAGAATTTAGCCTCAATCAAAATGCTAATGTTTTCTTTTATCCTGCTGAACAATTATTTTATCTTTCTAAATGAGTTTTATTGTTATATTACCGACCTCTTGTACTTCTACTCTAAGAACTCCTGGCTATTAGGTTGGCTATTAGAAGGGATTTTTGCTCTTGCCTGATAAAACTAGATCGTTCTAGGATTTAATTAACTGTTAGGCATACCGAATGATCTATAGTTTGAAATATATTGTCAAACTAATAACGTATGGTGCATTAACGCACTTTTTGGGGTCTAATCCATTACAACATTTTTTTTTATTTTCTCGAAAGTATTACAATAAGTGTACAGCGCAGATTTTGGACTGGAAAAACTTGCATATTGTAAGAGACATTAAAAGAWTTGGGGCGACTCTCTTTTCTTGTTGCTATCTATTAACGAGTTAACGTTTATACAAAAAGAAAATTCTATTCCAGCTTATCATTGAGGGAGATTCTGGTGGTTACTATGGATATATTGCTATCGATGACGTATCGATCACGGAGGGGAACTGCAATATTTCACGTACGTATAGTTTTCCACTATAAAAATAATTTGATGCTTGCTTCTTTGACTATCTCGCATCTTAGAGATTACAATTTTTCGTCAAAATATATCAGCGATTCTTCAATTTTGATTTCGATATTGTCGGTGCAGGAACAACTATCGATATTGTCGGTGCAGGAACAACTATTTGGAGTTTCATTTCGTACCATTTTGTTTACAGTCATTCATTCATCTAAAAGTATCTTCGAGTTTTTAACTTCTGTTTGACTACAGATTATCAGCTCTCTCCCAGGCGCAATTTTGGTGTTTTTGAAATGCTAAAACATTTGAGACTTATTCAGCGATAGAAAAATCTCAAAGGTCTGGCCCGATGCTGCAAAGTATCTCATATGTTGTGCTTTGTTAACAGAATCATGTCGCGACCAGGTCTGTTACAACGGTGGTAACGCATACTGCTTGAACAACACRGGACATTGCTACTGYCCTGATGATKCTATTGGTCAGCAATGTGAAAGGTACAGATGTGAYTTTAATAAAGACTGGTGTCAGTCATTTTGGCRCCAAGAAAGAACGACRGATAGATTTGACTGGACAAGAWATCAGGGTYCAACACCTGTAGCAAATACTGGTCCTTCAGSAGATCACAATAGTGAAGGTAYAGGTATACAGTCAATTGAAAAAAGGTTGTTGGATTGAGACATGCACTTATACACTTATATAATGAGATTCATAAAATATCTAATTAGATGCAGAGCTGAGAAGTATTTTCAAGATGGATATCCAGAACTAACCAACGGAAATGTGTATACAAAATCTTCTCTTTCCTTGTTCACTGCTTGTTGCAKGACAATTGGAGGAATGTGATGAAATATGCTGTAAAAAAACTTTACTGTGTTTTTACAAAATCTGCCGTCAATATCACTAAAAGATGATCGTTTACTTTTTTCTACCCATAATCACAATGGTTTGATGATATTCCTTTGTCCTGCTAGTACTTTGTCATAACTTTAAAGCGATGGAGCCTTGGAATGTACCTTTTACTTCACATTAGATATTTTATGAATCTCATCCCAAAACCGTTTTGCAATTGCAGTGACACATATAATGAGATTCATCATATCAAAGAATTGCCTCAGAAAAGTTGTCCTTCGTTTAGTTGTCCTTCAGCCAAATATATCAATCTTACCTTATTTGGAAGTACGTTTAGACTGGTGATTTCCTCGACTTTTAAAGTTTGAAATCTTCTCAGTAAAACTGGGGACCTGAACAATCAGCCAATTTTAATATTAAAGAAAATTTAAATCCAATTTTAATATTAAAGAAAATTTAAATGCAACCCAAACGCTATAGCAAATCAAATGAGGATTACGTAAGCTGGTTTTGAAATCTCTTCCTAGCTCGTTTGGTTCTTTTTATCATCGTACTTTCGCCATCATGTTTACTAGTTTTTATGGAATTTGTCAAGCTGCTTTAATTTCCTATGTAAATTGGGTATCGATGTTAATCTGTCTTACTTACATTTACTTTTTTTCTTTAAGTTTCTCATCAAATATACATAACAGTCCAAACCAGCTGTASCTAYACSRCCAYMAAYAAGTWYAGTGGCMGGTTTACGTCACCTAACTACCCTTCATACTACAAAAACCGAGAAAACTGCTACTGGTTRCTKACYTCCAATGGAAGAATTTCTATATCATTCGAAAGTTTYTACACTGAGAGTTGYTGTGAYAARGTTTATGTTTACGATGGTGGTTCGAGCTCGTCCAGATTACTTGGTCAATACAGTGGTTACAGTCTTCCTCCAAAACTGACCAGCTCATCCAAACAGTTGTACGTGAGATTTATCTCTGATGGCTCGGTGACGTATCGTGGGTTTTCGGCTAAATATGGACCGGCAGGACAAGGTAAGATTTTATGCACGAATGGATGGAAATTTTGGAAAGCATTTTTAATTAGAGATTTAATAAAGAATGTGACTATAGACAATTTTATTATTGTTTTCTATTTCTTGCAGCATCGGGCTACTACATTTTTATTAACACCCCATCAAATAGAAGGTTTGGCGACACAGCCAGATTTGTCAGCAAGTCTCTTCCTGCTACAAGCGGTACCTGCCTTTCATTTTGGTACCACATGTATGGTAGTGACATCAATGCCTTGAATGTGATTTTGAAATCAAGTCTTAGAAATACCACCGTCTGGTCCAGGAAGGGMGAGAGTGGTAATAGATGGTTAGAAGGAAAATTTACTATCAACACCACTAATACTCATCAGGTAAAGTAATATACTGTTTGTACTCATTAGTAATTCAGAGTGTACTCTGTTTTCGACTATCTTTAGATTTCTTTAACGAAATGAAAGGGTGGGTTCAGAATTGACGGTTGTAATTGAGAGGTCAGCAGGGAAGTAACGGCATTGCAACGTTTAGTTAACCAGTGTCTTGATAATAATCTTASTTCAATTAATTCTAGATCGTATTTGAAGGAGTCGTTGGTAGTGGAATTGAAGGTCATATCGCACTTGACGATATATCGCTGAATAGAGGAGATTGCAATATTTCAAGTAAGTTATTCATTACTTTATAACTAGTCATGGAAAAGTTAAAGTTAAATCCAATTAATCTTGAACGAACGATACACGGAACCTCACATTTATTTCACCCCGACCTGCTCCCAGTCTGGACCTTGTAGCTTAGTGGTCGTGGGTTCGAATCCCAGCGAGGTCGTAAATTATTTTTTTCCGAATTCGTTTCCAAAGAGTATTTCTCCAGGAATTACCTCCTTCTAAGCACTATAACTTTCCTTTATTTCTATATCATAGTTTTTCCTAGTAAACTGATTAAGCATTTTGAAATTTCCTTAAAAGGTTCCTGTCGAGATCAGATCTGCTACAACGACGGTAATCCATACTGTTTGAACAACACGGGCTACTGTTACTGCTCGAGTGATACATACGGAGACAAGTGTCAATTCGGTAAGCAAAAAACCGTACGTTTTTAAAAAAATGTGTATCTCTAAAGCTATTGCTTTGACTTCTGAAAAAGTCCTTCCATCAAAGTTGTGTATATTCTAAGTCAACACGACGTGATTCTATATTTCAAATTTTCTTAAGGAAAAGAAAAGAGCTAATTTTATTTAT